CTTGGAAGTACAAGTAAACAAAGATTCTGACAGGTCTGAGAAATCTTATGGTCAAATTCTGTTCTTGAGTTCACACAGCTTCTGTTTCCATTTAAGTCAGTGGGAATGTTGACCAGGTCTGATTTTGGCCCTAAATTATGAGCAGATATTGGAGGAGTTACCTATGTTCCTAGAAAGAAAGGATGCTTCAAAAGCTCTTAATATAAAATGTATGAACATGTTGCTCTGGTTCTGTCAGTTTCTACCAGATTAACAGTGTTAATGGATCAGTATTTGACTGAAATCTTCAAAGAAAAACAGCTTATGTGGCAGCTGGTATTGATTCAGGTCAGCTTCTGTAGTGTAGGGGTGTCAAACCCATGGCTTGTGAGAGGGATTTGGCAAGCAACCAGAAGTTGAGGGGCTTGGCCAGGGGAGAGGGCCTGCCACAGAATCCAAAGCCTTGGGACCCTGGTGGACATGGCAGTCAGTGGCAGGAGGGTAAATGAGAGCAGATACAATGTCAGTCACCCTCTGGTTGCTTTGCCCGTTGCCACCGCTGCAGCGCTCTCTCCTCAGCCACCAGGCTTCACCATCGTGCTGTACTGGAGCCATCACTGAATGTCCTGTGCAGGGGCCAGAGCTGCCCCTGCAGCACAGGAAATGGGCTCATGGCTGCAACTCCAGCTGCCGCTGTGTGCCCCAGGCAGAGCTGGGTCTGCTGCCTCTGCTTCATACCCCAAGCCAGATTGTGCCCTGGGCCAGACTTGGACTGTGAAGCTCCTTGTGGGCCAAAGTGAGTTTGAAATCCCTGTCCATGTACAGTATCAACTACATATGGAGGCACAGTGGTAGGGAGTACCATAGGCAAGACAGAAGCCATTCTTCAGATGGTCTGCAGCAGGAGCCTCAAAGATGAGGCCTGCCATAGAGCCATGTTATCCAGTCCGCAGTGCTGCCTGCGAGTCGCAAACCAGCGTGTCACATGCAGCATACGCAGGCCCTAACCCAATATGCTACACACGGCATGCAAGCCCATCTGGCAAATTGGCCCCATCCACCATGATTAGTGTGCTCCCTGGATCAGCCCCAGGTGTTGCATGCTGTACACAGGGCTGGGGCCAGCATGTGCTGTATGCAGTGCAGGGTCTGGAGCCAGCATGAATATCGTAAGCAGTATGTGTACTGGTTCAGGACGTGTGCTACATACAGCACCCATGCTGCATCACCCCTGTAGGGGGAAGCATGGGCCCTATCCAACCTACAGACCAGCTCATTTTCCTCATCCCATCCATAGGGCCAGATGAGTTTTACACTCCTGGTCTATAGAAATGTTTTCAGTGTTCTCATTGAAAACAACTGGAGCTCTCAGCTTTTCTGTTTTTCTGACTGATGCAGATCCTATCCTGAAATACTAATTATAGTCAAACTGAGAGTTACATTGTATCTAAATTCCCTTTGTACTTTTAATTTGATACTATATTTGCCCCATTTGTCTTAAACTGTTGTTCGGTACTGCTTCGTTTAACACTTGCACCTTGGACTTCAAAGTTGGCAGCATTTCAGTATTGGATGAAGCCATCTTCATATATTGTTTATACTGGGGAAGGAGTTATAAAATGGTATGGGATCCTTTAGGAGGAAATACCCTTTATAATTTCCCTGGTTTCCTTTTCTTAGATAAATCAGAGTCTTGGGCAAAAGTATGCTAAATTATCTCTAGTACCAGATAAGTTATTTTTTTTGCCTACGTGCATGACCATTTTGCTCTGGGTGGGCTCTGTGGAATGAAAGCTATTGAAAGAATGCAAAATATTTTTGCTTAGCAAACCGCAGCTCCAGTCTTAAAGAAACTTCTTATTACATAGTAAAGAAATGCTGGAGGGGGGAAGCATCATGAATGGCAAAGCCATTTTCCATGTATATATTTAGTGAATATGTATCTTTGACTATAGCGTGATGTTAATTTTGAACAGTGAAACAGAATTGCTACCAGGAGACTTGTGAACAGACAGAACAGAGAATAAAGGCTGTGGAACTCACTGCCACAATAGGTAAGAATGCCTACGTACCTAAATGCTCTTAGAATAATATAGAAATATAAATATGTTCTATTTGGTCTTCCCAAAACAATTACTTTCTCTCCCTCCAAAAAAAATTACAAGCAATTTAAATAGGTTATAAAGAGAACTTTCTATGGTATTAAATTACTGCAATAGCAGGCATGAAGAAGAATCTAAATGTGTCGTTGGCTATAGAATTTTTACTAAATCAGGATAGCATGAGTCCTGATGTTTTTGAAGCATAATGCACAACCTTTTATTTGTGCAGCCTTGTTTCACAATGATGAGATAAAACTGTCTTGGGAGCATTATGGAGCTACACTGAAAAGAAATTCCCAGTGAAAACTATCATAATCAAGTGAAACAAGTATTGGATCTTCAATGTCCTTAGATGATAAATTCTGCTTTTATTACCTTGTTTATTGCCTGAAGTGTCCACACCTATCAAGTTAAGGAGTACAATAAAGAAGCAGAGGCATATAGATTTGATTAACACAGTTGATGTCATAGTTGGAAAATGCAGGGTTTTTTTTAATGCTGCTTGATGAGTTAGGCAGTTTCCCAGTACTGGACATGCACAAACTGATTCCCATGCCCTATTTGGAACTCACTCAAAAGCAGGATCTCATTTGGAATTTAAACTAACAACAATGGGCCACATTATATAGAAGGGTCAAAGGATACAATGCTTCTTTTAACATTTTTTCCCCTACAAAATGTCTTTTTTTTCTTTAGAAACTGGGGAATTAGTGACAGGTTTGGTTAGATATACTTGCTACATTCATCCAGACCCTACCTACCTATGTACTTTGTTATTAAATAACTAGATTGTGTCTTTGTATGCCTGAAGCAGAAGTTCTCAAACCTTTGTCAGTTGCATCTCCACCTACAGACAGACAATTTCATGTGACCCCACAATTGGCATTTAATGTTCACATGTCAACATTACATGCCAATTATGGAATTTTCTGTGTTTTAGCTGCTCTGCAGTAGCTGCCCCTAAGTCTGCAAATATCCCAATGGAAGATAAGTTGGGGCAATTTTTCCTTGAATGAAAAAGGCTAAGTTGCTCTGCTTTAGATTTCACTTACCATGGGATCCCATTTAGAGCATGAATAGGAATTATCCATTTAATAGTATGCAAAGATGAGAATTGCTCTGTTATTTGTTACTTTGTAGTCAAAAAAGAACAAAAATTAAGATCTGGTATTTTCCTAGAGGTGCCTTGAATCTAAAACAGTTGGGAACCACTATCCTAGAGAAACTAAGGCTTCATGCTCAACCTTGTACAAACACATAACAAAAAGATTGTCCCCGCTCTAAACAATTCACCCGTGTCATTTCGGCTCTTCTGCATCAGTTTTCTATCTTAGCTAAAAAAACCTGCGTCTCCCTGTAGTGGGTATTGATTCGCTACCAACTCAGGGGAAAGAGTGCCATCTGCTGAATTACCAGCAAAAATTTGATAGCAGTTCAGTGTTCCATGGGGTGTCCAACTTCACTCCGTTTGTGAAATGGGATAATACAGCTTCAGGCAATGTGATGTCAGGCAAAATTAATAAACACCACTAGTCTAAAATGAATACTAATCATCAAGCTCATGCCTCTGGGTTAGCTATAACTTTTGAATCCTATTACTGCTGCTTTCCAGATCTCAAATATAATATGAATCCTGGGAGGAGAAGGGTTTAAGAGAGGATAGCAAGATGTGGGTTTTTAGGGGTTTTTAATTCTCTCACTTGTATTAGCAAGCTGCTGTACTCAGTTATATCTAGAAAAGCTTTATTTCTCATTTTTTTGCACTATTGGTTTATAACTTTATATTTCTCATCCTGTGCAATGCAAAAACACTTATCTCACCTTTTCTGGTCTCTTTGATTCTTATGTAATACCTGCATGCCATTGTTTTTAATTAAATATTTCCATGCAGTATTAGAAATGTATTTTCAGTGATTTAAAACTATTAATAATACTATAAATAAAAAAGAATACAAGACTAGACTGATAAGCCCCCAAAAGCCGATTAACTCTTTCCTGACTTATGTCTAGTTTGTGTACACTGTCACACTAGTGACTCAGAAACAAATATTTCACACAACTCAGTTGAACTTATATCTCCTTAGAGATACACCTGGAATTTTGTCATAGTATCTCATACCAGTTAATTTTTCTTTTCTTTTAGGTCAGAGAGAATTTTCAGTTGTCATCATTGAAAGAAAACAGTCAGGGCCCTAAAATGAAGAACTCTGCATATGTTAAAAAATAACAGGATCCCTTGACTAGAACCAACAGCAACAAACCCTTAGGTAGCACTGTGCATCACAATGCATTCTCCTTTTTGTGTTTCATTTTTACAATGAAACCAAAATGAATGAGACTTAGAGCATCTACAATTTCCTCAAATATTACGTATTTTGGTAGGATCAAAGTTAAAAGAGGAGTTATAATAATTCAAGTCAAATGCCCAGATAACCTGGAACTATCTAAAGGAACACCTCTTACATATGTATGGCAGGGGGGAGAAGGATTCTAAGCATTGTCTGAAAAATGTCCTGTGTTTCTGACTGATAGATTAGACTGGTATCCTTGATTCCCTGCTGGATGGAAAAAAGACTGGAATTCTTGTTAACACCTATCAGTACCTGCATAAATTTAAATTACTTCTCTTAAACTTAGTCTACAATATCTTGCATTGTATGTACTGGTTTGTTTTGCTGTTGGGACGCAGTAAGAGAAAGAACAAATTGCATCTGAATTCCTACTGGTGCTGTGTTTTGGTTTTTAAATTGAAATGAATAGCATATAGGTTTGATATTCAGCACATCCCCAATGAGGGGATTTTCTTCCACACATGTGGAGGGGAATGCGCTACCTACTGGGACTTTCCTGTTCCCCATTGTAGAAGTCTTCAGTGGGGTTATGGGTTCTATTGCTTTGTGTCTAATGTTAACTTTTATTCCCACCCCCCATTTATAAGGATGTCTGGAAGTCAGGATTCAGGCAGTGGAAGCCACGTCAGCAAGAGAAATTCCAGCAATGCCAGCTCCACCGTGTACTTTGGACAGGTCAGTAACTCTCCACCTAGATTAGTCATCTTCCAGCCCACCTGTAATAATTTCATTTCCATTACATTTTCTCCCAGTGACAACAGAACTACATACTTCCTTAACAAAGCTAGTTTTATTTGGGCTGTACAGATAAAGCCTTTGATTTTGATAATTAAAGAGCAAGAAGTATGCATCAGCCTCACTTATTTATATGAATTCTCCTACCAGTTCAGAGAAGACTGCTGCTTTCCCTCAACCATTAGAACAAATCAAATTGTATACAGATTAAGTTTATCATTCACAATAAGTGATGAATTCTTTTCCCCGTGCCATCTGTATGTAGTCAGCAAATGAACAGGATACATAAGTGTCCTGTTCCCCCTTTTTCCTACTGTTACAGAATTATGTATGGGTGCCAGACAAAGAAATGGCACCAATACATAATAAAATTAAATGATACACTGTATTGAAATATAAATTAGAATTAAAACCTATATTAAAGAGAGTTAAAGTTATTAACGTTTCTATTAAAGTTCATATTAAAGTTTCTAGTAAACAGTGTACAATTTAAAATTATTCCTTTGGCAGAAAGAATAAGTATAGCATAAGGGTCCCTCAATCTCTCCAGTTAAAAATACCACACAGATTTTGTCTGGCTAAGAAATGGATAGCACTCCTTTTGGAGAAGCCCATTTAATTCCTTCATTAGGCAGAAGAGAGCCTCATCCAGGAGCTAGAATGTCCCACACATTCCTGTATCAATAAAGAGCAAGAACTCTGGTTTTCTGCTGTTAAACCTCTCAGAGTTCACAGATTTAGGTCTGCCTGCTTCTTTGCAGAGTGGACATAGAGCTTAAGTAACATTTTTGTCTCAGCAGTAAGCAGAACTAATGCCTAACTGACTGTCTTATGTAAGGCAAAATGCCAGCATGCAGCTCCTGGGGCAAAATTAATTCCTCCCTGAGCTTTTTCCCTACCAATTACATCCTGAAGCATGAGTATGGATTACTTACCTTCTCTTGGAAGGCAGCAAAACAAAAATGGCATTATGTGGGAATGTGGAAATATAATAAAGAAATTAAATATATCACATTCTGATATGTTTCTATTAAAGTACCAGTACACAGCAGATGAGTACCAGGCCATCCAGAATGCTCTGCGTCAAAGACTTGGTCCAGAGTACATCAGCAGCCGGCAGGCTGGAGGAGGACAGAAGGTATGGATGAGTGTGCGTATGGCAACATTATTTAATTTTTAGTGGGGGAGAAATTCTCCACTATGAAAAGCTTATAAAGTACTTTAGGTTAAAAAGTGTTTGGTCTTCCATAGTCATTGCATTTAGAGAAATAAGTCCAGGAATATGATATTGTAAATTCCAGCTTTAGCTCGGACATAGTTTCATAGTCAGCAGGGTCGGAAGGGACCTGAGCAAATCATCAAATCCGACCTCCTGCCATGGGCAGGAAAGAATGCTGGGGTCAAATGACTCTAGCAAGGTGTCTATCCAGCCTCCTTTTAAAGACCCCCAGGGTAGGAGCGAGCACCACTTCCCTTGGAAGTTGGTTCCAGATCCTAGCCGCCCTGACTGTGAAGTAGCGCCTCTGATATCTAGCTTGAATCTACTCTCAGTCAACTTACGGCCGTTATTCCTTGTTACTCCCAGGAGTGCTCGGGGGAACAGGGACTCTCCCATGGCCTGCTGGTCCCCCTTGGCCAGTGTATAGACAGCCACCAGATCCCCTCAGCCTTCTCTTGTGGAGGCTGAACAGGTTCAGGTCTCGTAGCCTCTCCTCGTAGGGCCTGGCCTGCTGCCCCCTGATCATGCAAGTGGC